AGGCCACAGGGAGCCAAGACCTTGGTGCAACACACTCCAGGCCACGTGCCCGTGAGCCACAGGAATCGAGTGGGCACGGCACCATGGAAATCGAGCGGGCACGGCCTCCCACCAGCCCCGATGAGCTGGGGCGCCAGGCATGAGCCCAGGCAGTAGGCTCGCTCTCATTCCTTCTGCAAAGTTTACATCTCGCTGAGGAAAGAGGAAGAATATTTTACCACTTGCCTCCACCTGAGTTGATAACGTGCTGCGTGGCTGTACAGCAGACCCCGGGGCAGCCAGCTGCAACCCGCCTGCCCACGGTGGACACCGCAGGGCCCTGCCCGCTCCCCCCAGCCCCAGACACCTGCGTGCCAGGAACTGCCGTGTGCCAGGAACTGCTGCACTGGACGCGCCGACGCCAGCGCGGAGGCTCCCAGCCGCTCTGCGCTCCGTGCTCACGGTGCCACGGCTGATCCCATTGCGCCGGGCACGGTGTGACAGCTGCCGCATGGCCCCACTCCGAAACCCCTCTATTACTTGGAAGCCTGTACGTTTACAACTGCCCTTTCCACCAGAGGATTCAGACATAAATTGTACTTTGAATTCAGTTTCAGTCATTAATATTTCATGATTACAAAACGTTAAGGATAATGTCACTGGGAGGAATGTCTGGGCAGTTAAAATGGATGAGTCAGAGCTCACCACGGGAGAAGTCAGAGCGCTGAAGAGTCTCCCCAGCTTTTGAAGCGATCCAGCCTGACAGGCTCCCCTGCCGGAGGGGAGCCGCAGCATTTACTGACTTGTTCTGAAATCCTAGCTGCTGCATGTAAATATTGTCCTTCTGATTCTTGTCACCTCGCGTTTCCTCTGGATGCTGAGTTGTGCTGCAACGCCACGATCCCCTCCCCAGCCACTGGGGGCAGAGCCTCCCCGCGGAGCCCGCCGGACACGCCATGTCTATGCCGCAGGCTACTCTCCCTCCGGTGTGGCTGGGCAGCACCAGCATGCCTGCCCGTCACTGCTTGATGCTGGGCAGGGCTCACGACAGCACCGCAGACAGGCAGCACAGATGTCACCCCGGCCGGCAGGCACAAAGCATCAGCACAGAGAGGGGCTTGGGACATGCAGCGGAGCCAGAGACGTCCCTGCCCCGGGGCAGTGCGGGTCTGGCCAGTGCCGCTGCTCCCCCCTCTCCTGGGGCAGCAGGGCGGATGGCTGCTGCTGCGGCGAGGTGGCCCCACAGCAGGAACCAATCTCTGGGCCCCAAGTCAGGCCCCAACACGGCTCCTTGAACGAGCAACAAAGAAACGAGAACCAGAACTCCTGAGGGGTCTCTGGGAGCGAAGCCCGGGGAAGGCTCCTGCCCACAGACAGACAGGTTTCGGCACATGTCGGCAGATGACAGAAGGTGCATTGCAGCCAAAGCAGCTCCCTGGTACCAGCTGCCGTGGGGTGGCAGAGTACAGCAGGTCCCAGGCGGCTCTGGCGACTTGCGCATCCAAAATGTGGAAAACTTTGAAGAATATGGCAATGCCTTTCTGCTTCCCAGCACGGTGCCTGGGATTGAAGCCCCTTCTCCATCTTCAGGCTCGGAAAAAGGAGGAACGCCTATAGAGCACTCCCTGGGGCCCACGGGGCCAGATCCACCATCGTGCACGGGACCTGCAGAGCCCATGAGCAAAGGCACTGTGCAAACACGACGGAGGTCAGCAGGATAACCAGAGCAGCATCCTACCCACAGCAGAACACCTGCAGGGAAGCAAAGCCTGCCCTTTGCTGCTATTATTTTCTTTTCATTCCTCAAGAGGAGTTTATTCAGAGCTCCTTTGAGCAGCAGGACCCAGGTTTGGTTTTTTCTTTCTAACTTGAGAAGAAAAGACAAACAGAACTTCTGTTGAAAGTGTCTACGCCAGGCTCTGCCACCCCCATCACGCGGAGGGAAGATAAAACCTGCAGAGCCACTAAGCTGTTCCCTCCCGGCTCTCCCAGCTGGGTGCGAGCAGATTTGGCAGTTACTGTAAATACAGGCTAAAGGATAGCACAGCCATAAGGGAACGAAGAGACCATCATCAGGGCTCTCATGGGAGGGTCAGAAAGGAGCTAATTTCAGAAGAGGACAAAAGAGCTTCACCTCATCCTCTGCCTGAGACTTTTCCTGGTGGGCTGCAGGGTGAGGCCAAGTGCTGCGGTCAGAGCCGAAAGAGCCTGGTGCTACCAGCCCTGGCAGTGCCGCTGCTCTCCGTCCCCAGCACGGGGTCTCAGGGATGCTCTGCCCCCGCAGCTCCTTCCCACTGCTGCAGTGCCGGGACCTCCCATCCACTCCTTGCTGTGCCTTGCCAAGCCTGCAGCCGCACCAAGGGCAGGGAGACCAAGGAGGAAGGGCATGGGAGGCATCCAGAGCCACATACCCACTGTGCAGGTACAGCCTGCAAATCCCAGCCACCATGAGCCCCCAGCAGAAGCGAGCGCTGGCAGCTATCTGCGCCACAGGGCTCCAGTTGATGGGGCATCCACCCACAGCACATGGCTGAACCAGGGGGACACAGGCGATGTGAACACAGACTCCCTGGGAGCCCCCAGAACTGCTCAGCAGGTGTGAATGCAGGGAGCGAGCTGCACAGGGATGACTGGCAGAGCTGGCGCATAGATAACACTGATTTGATTAGTGTTCATCAAATATACTATTCGATCATGCTCCCTTATTAATGCTCGAGTCAGGAAGAGTATTTTTAGGTTGTCTAGGGAGATGTCAGACTCGGTGCTTGCTGCCTTTTTTTTTTTTTTTACTTCAGCGTTAATTAACACTTGCATCTTGGTCACCTCTGCAGCGAACGCACCCATATTTCCCCCTCTGCCCCACTCCAGTCCAGCACAGACTGTCTGCTCCACACAGCACTCCTCCATCTCACCTGCTTCCATCGCCAGGACAGTGATGTTGTGCCACCCTGCCGTCTCCCGGTCCAGGACCTTTCCTGTCACAATGGCACCCGTGTTGGCATCGATGTCAAAGATCCTCTCTGCATCTGTGCTGCGGTCAATGGCGTACCTGAGACCAGGCAAAAGGAGAAACTGAACAGCTGGATGTGCCAAGCCCAACCTCATCATCAGCCCCAGGAGTACAGGGATCTAATGCAATGGACCCTCTATCTCCGCTCTCACTTTTCCTCTGCTGCAGCATGGTACACGAAGGCCTACCAGGCTGCAAGCCCAGAGCCCTCAAGTAAAATTAAAGTGTGGCTTTCGGTGCGTAAAGTGGAACTAAGCACAGACTGTGGACAAGGGGGAAAACCTGCTCTGATGGGAACCTTATGCTCAGGATAGACAGAGGGATATAGAAATCACAGGCTGTAACTCCATTCATGACTCTGGGAAGCTTCTGACCTATAGGTTCAGGAAAGACACCAACCCAAACCAAAGGAGGGCACCCCTGCTCAAGGAGCCCACCTCACCTACTACCCTCTCTCCTAATCCTGCCACAGCACCCACCCAAGTGAGAGACTTGGAAGACAATATAGCAGCACATGGGCAGGCTGTGAGCTGGACCTGCAGATAACCTGAACTGCAGCTACAGCAGTTACAAATGGCAAGGTCGCCTCTGAATCCAGAATGAACCTGTGCAACTGGACAAGAACGCTGGCAGCAAGGAGGTGGACAATGGCCAGCATCCCCACAATCAACACAGCACATCATCCCCAGCAGCCCTAAGATTTGCCCTAGTTTGGACTTCCCACTTTCACAGGAGCAGGCTGAAGAGCTCCTCCAGCTCCAGCTGGCTCCAGCTGCTCAGCAGAGACCCTTCATACACAGCTCTCACTCTTCTTCAGCTGCTCCAGTGCTGCCCCAAACAGCCCCCTGCCTGGGCATCCCATCAACAGCCCACCTGCTCCCCGTGCCACCTCTGGAGAGCACAATTCCCACCTCCTCCCAAAGGGCAACACCACAGCTCACAAGAAGAGTCAGACACCCAGCTTTAGCCCTGCGCTTTATCCACGACACCACGAGCCCACGCAATCAGTCCCAGTGGCATGCCCTGCATTTCCAACTATTACACACGGAATAAAGCAAGCTAACATTAAACCAGGGCACAATTAGATGTGTGCTCCCTGGAGGCAGGGACTGGAAGGGAAGCCTGATCCAGCTGAGGCCCTCGAGCACAGCCGTAACACAAATAACAAACACCACCACTGCAATCAGAATTAGAAATCCAGAAGGCCTACAAATCACAAGCAATAAAGCATAATGTTATTGTGTACAGCATCTTTCATACACACTGCATCCCAGAGTGCTTTACAGAATTAAATAATACAAGACAGCAAAGAGTACAAAGGATAAATTACCAAAAGGAGGGCTGTGAATAAATTAAAGCCTTCAGTCACATGTCCAACAACAGAAGGAAGATAAATGTAGGGACAAAGCAAGCTGGAAAGCTGATGAGACAGGACAGTACTGAGAGGCCATATCAGACAACAGGAGCAGAGCAGGACAGACTCTAGGCTAGAAGCACATTCCAGATGGTGGAGACGCTCTGCACACTGCCGGGTGGCTTTCCCAAGTGCTTGCATCTCGCCTGGCACGGTCCAGCTGTGGGTCCATCATCCACATGGCTGCAGCTTGCAGCTCACCTTCTGCATGCAGGAATGACCATTTTGCACAGAGGCATCGATGGCCTCCATGCCTTTCTGTCCTATGCCCTGGGGAGGAACCAGCTGCAGATGAGAGTGCGCCCTGAGGGGCACCTATCCACACAGCCGGGCAGCTCTATCTCTGATGGAGGCACATACAAAGGCATTTATATGCTGTTTAAAGTATTATACAGTACTAGGTTATGTTCCCTAACTTTCTCCCTTTCAGACAGACAGGGGGATGAGAGAGAAAATACAACAGCACTTGCTTGTAGTTAAGGAAAAACGTTCAAAAATCACTATCTAAATTGCAACTGTGCACATGCACAACCTAGCATGTTCTGCACCTATGTGGCTGGCTTCCTCCCCCCTCCTTGCATCTAGAGGTGACGGGGATCTGCCACACAAAGCCAGGTACAAGCCTAGGCATCTCTGAACCAACTGCCAGGGACTTCCTAGCCATCTTGCATTTTCTGCCCCAATTCCCAGCTGGAAACAGAGCCTCCACAGGAGTGTAGCCAGCTCCAGAAGGGACAGTGACACTGTCTTGGCACGTACTGCAGCCTCTCATCCACTCTGCGCTCACTCACTACAAAGGGAAAAGAGAGGTCGGGCCACTCTGACTTGTACCCATCAGTCCAAGGTACTGCTCGAAGGAGGAATAGAAACCGGGATGATACCACCTAGTATCTTTCCAATAGCATAATTGATGCATTTGCATAACTGCTTCCATTGTTCTCCCACATCACCTGGCCTCAGATACATCCTGTTCTTCCATTCCACTTTTGAATACTGTTAGAGTTCAAGATGGTACTTCACTCTCCGTATGCCTTCCCTGCTTCTCAGGTAAGCGCATGCCTGTTTTGTTCACACTCATGTCATTGCTGCATAAACAAAGATGTCTGCAAAAAATAGCTACACAGGAAAACCCAGTTAGTGATGGGAGACATCACTGAGCCTGGAACCATCTGACACCAGCTGCCCGCATGGCCAGAGGGCAGGGGGCTGGTAGGGGAGCACTCTGCCTCATGCCACGGGTAACCTTTTCTTATGCTTCCAATTGTTTTGCTGCTAAGGTTGTCTTCTGTCACTTCCGAATTGTCTGCTGAGGACTGACTGCCCATACACTATGGCAGGGCACAAACCAAACCAGAAACCCGATCCCTTTGTAACCACCACTACACAGAGAGCTGCCACCTTCTCAACACTGCACCAGGGGAAAGAGAGCGAGCTCTGAGCATTGCCTGCATTTGCCACAAAAGCAGGGCTGAGCCTACTTTTACACACCAATTTTGGAGGTGGCAGTCCAGGTGGGTCTGTAGCTCTCCATCTGCGCAACGTGCTGTGGAGGCTCTGGAGCACTAGGCTGGCACTGGAGTTGGGGACTGAGGGGGCACAGGGATGTCCATCCGCCCCCCCAAAGCCATAGCCATAATCCGCTCAGAGCTGCAGATCAACCCTCTCCACACTACTCTACACCACGACAGACCTCCCCTTCCAAGAGTTTACGGCTAACCCTCTGCTAGAGCAGCTAGAACGAGAAGTTATCCACTGTGCTCCGTTTATATCATTTTGTGCAATACGATCTTTACCAACAAAAGTCTGTGCTGACCATCACAAGCCTCTCCACCTCTAGTAGTCCAGCTTCATATTCATCCATCCCACTGAAGTCAAACAGTGCTTCTCAACTGGGAAGGGGCAGCAATTAATCCCTGGGTCCTCCGGTTACTCAGAGATAGGACATATGCTCATTCCTCCTAAAGCTGGCTCGTGCTCCATATCTGGAACTGCAGTCCCCAGCTCTGATTGGGATGCGGACCTTGTAATCCATTTTCCTCTCTTCCTGCTGGCACTGCCTGCTGGTTTGGATTTTACAAGTGACTGTTTAATTCAGACAGCTTTCTTGGTGCTCATCTTTCTCGTGAATGCATTTCTCAAGCAGTTTGTTTCACTTCTCCCCTTGAATGCAACAAGGAGCACATTTTATGCCATGTGTTTTGTTAATAGGGAGTCTTTCAAACACTGTGAAAAGCTTTTTGTTGTCTTTGTTTTTTCCTCCTCTCCCTTTTGTGTTGAAGCAGGTTGTAGTTCTTGCTGTGCTGTTGGAGTCTATAAAATGCCCATGTCCAACACATGTCTCCGGATTTGGTGAATGCCAAACAAGAATATCTCTGAGAACCTTAAATCCCAAGCAACATCTTTCCAGTGCTGATAAAGCCTGGAATGCACACAATCAGAGCACAGGCTCCCACTGCAGAGAGAAAAACAAAAGGTTGCCATACAAACAGCCTCACGTACACAGACAGTCTATCACTGTATTACCTCATACAATGGCTCAGCTGAGAAAAATTGCACTAAGACCAGGAAATGTACAGCTAAAGTCAAAAAGCCAACTGGAAACTAAATTCTTTCTGAAAAAAGAGTGGTTCCAGCTTTTGTTAGGCAACAAACAAGGATGGAATAAAACAAAAAGCACTGGTCCTTTAGAAAGGCATTTCCTGCCTGTACCACGGTGGGGTTTCGTGTTTCCCCCGAGGATGCGCGCAGCCCCTCTGCCGTGCTGAACTTCAGCACGACTCCCTGCTTCGCAGCGTCGGCACCGGAGGGAGGGTGTCCCTTTCTGAGCAGCCACAAGCTGGGGCTGCTCACCCAGAGAGGTGGGGTGCTCTTTGGGCACCCTAGGCCTCAGCTCTCCTCCCACCCGGGCAAGTGGCTGCCAGGGGCTCTACATCCATTTGTGGCTGGGAGAGGGGCAGCGAGCAGTGCCTCAGGGACACCTCCCGAGAAGAGGGGAGTCATACGCCCCTTCAACCCTCATGTCTTCATAACATGTCACTTTGCGACCCAGCCCAGCTCATCTGGAAGGGATTTGTTCTCACACCAAGTGGGCACATCCTTGTGGGACAAGCGGCTCACCAGGAGGGCAGGGGAGCGCCGGGCTGAAATGTGCCCCCAGCAGCTGCTTCAAGCAGGAGCTGCACAGCCGTGTTTCTGCTGGCCTGGGGATGAAAACAAAGAGCCAAGGGCACCTCCTTTCCCATTTGGCTAAAAATACTTCCCAAGCCTCGTTATTGGCAGCCTGGTGTCAGCAGGCCCTGGAAATGCTGACAGAGCTGATTTTTGCTCTGCTGTCTCTGGCAATCCTTGCTCTTTCCTGCCCAAGGGGAGAGTGCATCTCGTCATGACAGAAGGTTGTGGCTCTCCTCTATTTACAGGGCAGAGCCAACACACAGACCAGAGTCCAGGAGACAGCAGCCACCGTAGAAACACAGCCATGTCTCTGCTCCCACCTCTAGCAGACGAGGATCAGGAAGTTAAAAGGGATCCACTGAACTGCAGCAACTTGAAAGAGTTCATACCAACTTCAAGGAGCCAAGGATCAAATACTGGTCATGCTGTCAGGACCATTTGCTCTCTAATGTATCAGAGGTGAAGTACAAGTGCTGGCTTCTTGTGACTGTACTTTGGAGTAGCATGCTCGAAATGCGAGGTGACTTACTGCCGTCTCCTGCTGACGGGTTAGTGTCACATCCTGGCAGGGTGCTGCAGGATGCTTGCATTAATGTTTGTGCACTACTTTGAAGCTGTGAACAGCTGCCTACGTGGCGAAGTATTTTATTAAATTACCTGGCTAGCCAGAGGACGGGAAAACAGGAGAGATCCAACAGCACCTTCCTCCTGCATTGCTGCCACATTGGCATGACCTATATAAACCTGCATCTCCACTTGGTATATGTTAAAATGGCAGGGAAGGCTCACCCACCCGCACCCCCCAGGCAAGCACCAAGGGAGCATCACAAGGGGATGGAGCTGCCACTGTTCCTGACACCAGGCACTGCAAGAACAGAGGGGAGTGGAGAGATGGACGGATAGAGACCAAATGCCATAGGGGAATATGGGAGACGCAGGATGAGCTACCTGCCCAGGGATAGCTAGAGGGAGGACACATACTTGAATGCATCAAGCCTGACAAGGGAAAACACACTGCAATTCCCAAGCTGCAGCAGATGCCTGGGAGTCCTGCTGGCTGGGCCCTCGTGCCTGAGCACGAGGCATTGCCTTGTCTGGCACTATGCTTGCTGTAAGAGTGACACTCGCACAGTAAAGTTTGGGCTTTAGCCCTCTTCCTCCTGTTGAGTACTTGAATCTGCTTCTCTGTGCTCCAACTCCCCATCACCTTGTGCACAGCAGTAGAAAGCCTTCCTCCTCTGCTTTCTTTTGTTCTGTCTGCAAACAATGCAACAAGCTCCACGGGGAAGCAGCACAAAGAACAAGAAAAAACAAGAATAAGAGTAGTTCTGTCCCCAAGGCTCCTTTCCTACAATTACAGATCAGAAAATAAAACCTATGTTCTTCTGTAGTACTGCTAGAAATAGTCAAGTGAAAAAGCACATGCACACATGTACACACACAGATGTGTAGAAAGACTGCACGCATCTGAAGAGTGCAAGCTAACAGCCATGTGCTCAGGGCGGGCCACAAAGAAAGCAATCAGATGTGTAGCCTGAATGGAGAGGGTAGCCACATGGCAAGGTAAGCAGAGGTACTTCGAGAACATGTCCAACAGACAGCACCGACTAGTGCAAGTGGTGCAACACTCACTTACATAGTTCTAGTTCCTGGCATGCAAAGGTTGATTTAATTCACATTCACCCCAAAGACAACTTTCAGCATCCAGCTCTGTGACACAATACCCTCTGCTAGCTGCCAAGCATCTGTAGATGACAGCTTTCCACGAGTAAATTCTTCCCTGAGCTTTCTAAACATCTCAATCTTAATTTCCATGAAGATCTGGAGATACCCCTTATGCCACCTTGAACGAGTGCATTCCCCACGGCTGCACGGCGCTGGAGCTCAGCACCCCAAGAAGCCACGTGGCGACATCATCGAATGGAGTCAGTACTGTAACTGAGCCCTCCCTGGCCACGTCCTCCTCCATCCCACCTCCCTGTCCCTGCTGCGTCCCAGTTCACTGCTGCCTGGGACAGGCTTCCTACAGAGCTCTCACATGCAAAGCCACTGCTGCTCATTTGAAGTGAGCGGCTGCGCACAAGGTGCCTGCAGCCCTGCCGTCACCTGGCACGAGAACACACATTTCAAGGAAATTTTCCACACTTTGAGGATGTTTTCTGAACACCAGCTTTCCAACCCAACAGCTCGTGACTCAGGCCAGTTGGCAGAGCCAGAAAGCTGCTTTGTGCCTTAGGTAATAACAATTTAACAAGGTAACAATCTCTTTAGCCACAAATTAAATGGAAATAGGAAATGTCCTGTGCAGATAAGCTGCTGCCTGGATTATGTCCCCTGCCCAAATATCAACTCCTCTGATCTTTGATCCCTGTGCACACATGCATGCCCACACAGCCAAGCTGTGGCTCCGCACCTCCCAAGCCTCACCTCATTTGTCACCCTTCATCACTGCCCTCCTGTCATTTCTGGTCGCTCATCTGGCCTGTGTCAGGCACCACTGCAGATGCCGCACTGTCAGCAGCAAGGACATGCAAGCATCATCCAGTCACCTTCCCCGACACTCCCTTGCCACTCACAAACCCATCACTTGCTCTTGCTTCCCTGTTGCTTGTGCAGAGGCTGCCACTCACCCGCCAGCTGCCTGTCCCATAGGACACACTCACGCGCTTCGCCACGTGTGCAGCAGTTCTCACCTTCACCTGCACTGCCCCGCTTCCTCTGCCATCACTTCCCCTCTGCCCCAGCCATGGCCACAAGCCCCCCCAGGCCATGTGTGTCCCTTGCAGGTGACCCCATGCCCACCGTTGGAAGGAAGATGATGCAAGGTTTACGCGGCTGCTTTACCGGACAGGATGGTTCGCTGTGTCCGGGTCAAGGGCGGTGACCACCCCTACGACAGAGCCAACGCGCGCATCCTCCTGGACCTCCATCAGGTTGGAGGGGGGCCGGAATTCGGGGGGCTCGTCGACGTCCAGCACTGAGACCCGCACAATGGTCTGGTCCCGGAAGGTGCCCAGGTCCACGAACCGCGGGTCCACAAACTTGTTGAGGGCCTCCACCACGACAGTGTGCACTTTTTTCGACTCGTAGTCAAGAGGCTGGGACAACAGAAGAAGGTTAGCCATACCCAGCCCGAGGAGCCCCCCTGCTGCCCCTTCCTTCACTGGAGACATCGGGGGCAGCACTAAAGCCACCTGCTCCCCAGGCAGCGCCTCCGCGGGAGGCTGGGAGCTCGTGCTCTGCTCTGCCGGCGGTGCCCACACCAAGGGGGGCAGGAGAAAGAGGAAGCCTCCAGCCCACTCCTCCCAGGATCCCCAACAGGGCATCCAGGCTGCGCAGGGTCGGGCAGCCAGGATTCACTGGGAAGACAGCACACTGTGTGCTGCAAGTGAGCGGGTTTTGATCATTAATCACCCTGCTCTTATTTCTACAGGGGAGGCGATCTGAATGCAGTGGCCTTGGTAAACAATCGTTCTTTCTTGCCTGCATCAAGTGTTTGCTTGATTGTTTTTGCCACCAAAAGCAGATACAGTCAAAGTGCTGTTGGTCAGGTATAGGAATGAGGTGGGCATATTTCTCCCCTAACAGGTGCTATCAATAACAGCTGTAAGCACTTGTCTCTGTAGCCCTGTGCACGGCTTCGCCTATGCACGGCTCGCTTTGCTGCCACCCAGGGAGCCGCCCTGTGCAGGCTCCAGAGGCACTGTGCTGCTGCCCCTTTTCAGCCTTTCCTCCCAGACACAGGTCTGTGTTTTGCATCCAGCCAGCCAGAACAGAGGCAGGTGTCTCCCTGCACCTGCAGGCACAAAAATGCAACTGCTACTGCTAGAGCAGTGCTCAGAGGATATGCACGGCTCGCTTTGCTGCCACCCAGGGAGCCGCCCTGTGCAGGCTCCAGAGGCACTGTGCTGCTGCCCCTTTTCAGCCTTTCCTCCCAGACACAGGTCTGTGTTTTGCATCCAGCCAGCCAGAACAGAGGCAGGTGTCTCCCTGCACCTGCAGGCACAAAAATGCAACTGCTACTGCTAGAGCAGTGCTCAGAGGAGCATTTATTTCAACTCAAATGCAGCAGCATCCCCAAAGGAAAGGGCCATCCTAGAGATCCGTGTCCTCCCTACCCAACCAGCTTTCCTCATCTCTCACCTTCTGCACCGTGATGACAGCCTCTTGGGTATTGCTGTCTGTGGTGACTTTGAACATCTCCACCCCTTCCTCGTCCTTCACCTGATACATCATGTCCGTGTTCTCCCCGACGTCAGAGTCCTCTGCCTTCACCCTCCCGATGGCAGTGCCCACAGGGGCAGTTTCAACAATGCTGAACTGATACATCTCTGGAGGAGAAAAAGGTACTAGGGTCACTGCTTCTGCCTTTGAACCCCCTCCAGCCTGATACAGCCCTTTGCATACCTCCCTGGGGGCACCCTTGGACTACGAGGGCTGCCCAAACTCTACCAGTGTCTATAGTCCAGAATGCCCTACCAGGAGAAACACATACCCCAGCCAAAAACAAGGGCTGAGGGAAGATAACTGGGGAGCACTGACATCTCAAGGTGCCAGGTGAAGTAAGGGCTGATATCTCTATATGGACACTGCCCTGCAATCAGTGATCTCTGATTCTTTGCAAACTATACCATTTCTAATTTCTAGGAGATGCAGCTAAAGACCTGAGCCTCCTCCAGCTGCAGCATCCTTTCTGGTCTGCCAGCCATGCGCTGCCGGTCTCTGCAGCTGGTGTGCACTGCAGAGATTGCACAGCCCACTCTTTGCAGCAGGATCACCCACCCTCCTCGTTTGGGGAGGGTCCCAGAGAAGACACAAGCATGAGCCACAGGCCACTAGCAGTGACTTGGAAAACAGAGCTGTCCTGTGACAAGGCTGCTGTCTGTGAGCTGGGCAGTGTCACCGTGCCTCACATTGGGGCAGAGCATGCCAAGCTCTGACGCAGCAGCCAGGAGGGGTCAGCCCAGCAGCTGACAGCCCAAGCTCCCAGGAGACAGCAGCACGACAGACCAGGCTGCCTTCTCCCCCAGCACTGCTCAGAGAGAGGTCAGGAAAGGGCCAGCTCTGCTCTCCCCACCACACAGTCTGGCTCACTCCCAGGACTAGCACCGGGAACAGGGGTCTTGTCCGGGACCCTGGACAGGCTCAGCCAAGGCAGCTGCTCCTCCATCACACTGCCAGGCGGGGACGCATTCAGACCCAGGCAAGGAGCTGTGTGTGCTACAGTGCCTTGGTGCTGCCACCCTGCAAGCAGCAGGAGCAGCCGGGCTGGCTCACCCTGCAGACATGTGCCAGGCTGTGCTGGGAGCTGAGCTTCCGTCCCACCACTGACAAGGGGCAGGACCAGGACAAGGGCCAGTGATCATCCCCCACTGCTGTCAGGACTTACTCTGAGGGAAGCGTGGTGGGTTGTCATTGACATCGGTGACTACAATGGTGACTGTGGTGGATCCAGACAGGCCACCCAGCTGTCCTGCCATGTCCGTTGCACGAATCACCACCTCATACCGGTCCTGCGTCTCACGGTCCAGGTCAGGCACGGCTGTCCGGATCACACCTGGAAACCGGCAGGACAGCGTGAGCACAGGCAGGTCACAGAGCATCTGCAGAGTCACAGACGGGGTGAGGCTGGAAGGGGCCGCTGGAGATTACCTCGTCCAAGCCCCAGCTCTAAACAGGATCACGTAGATCTCCCAGCCTCTCCACATATGGCAGATGCTCCAATACTTCACCAATCTTCATGGCCCTTCCCTGGACTCACTCTGGTATGCTCATGTCTCTCTTATACTTGGCAGCCCAGAACCAGACACAGCACTCGCGTCATCTCAGCAGTGCTGAGCAGAAGGGACAGGCCATCTCCCTCAACTGCTGGCGATGTTCTTCCTAACACAGCCCTAGGTGCTGTGGCCACCTTTGCCATAGGAGCAGGTTGCTGGCAACAACAAACAACAACTGCTGGGCCCCAGTGCCAAGGGGAGCAAACCCTTTTGCAGACTTCACAGAGATCACGTAAGCAAAAGCCTACTGAGGGGAGAAAAGGTCTCTGGAGAGAAAAACAAGCCCAGGGGACTGTCAGCCAGGCAGAAACATCCTGAAAATCCCCCCGGAGCCCAGGAATAGACACAGGCCCAACTTGATCCCAGCAAGTCTCTGCAGCTGATTCACTGGCATGTTGCATGAAAGGTTCCTGACTGCGCCTTCTACTGCGGGTTGCCAGTAGCTTTGACAGGGTTAAACTCTGGCTCAGAGGAGGTTTGTACTTCTCTGCAGGGAGGCCAGGAGCCCGGTGAAGGATCGGTGGGGGCCAGAGGCACAGGAGCAAGAGGACTCGCCTAGATGCGGGGGCTGCACTGGGGCCAGCCTCAAGGTTTGCACAGAAAGGCTGTGTAAAAGCCCAGGCTGAGTCACGAAACCCCTTTGGAACAAATGTGCAACAGCCCACTTATCCCTATCTGCTCAAGCAGGAGCCAGGCTTGCCGCAGCATTCCTAACAGAACATGGGTGCTCCCAGCCCAAGCTCCATTTCACAGGTGCCTCCTGGCCCAAACATGCCTGGAGGGCCCCCATTCGATCTGGAGAATGAGGGGGGAGGTGTATTTCCCAAAGTCTGTCTGCACAAACCCCCTCATTTTCAAGCGTCCCTCTAAGTAAGGAGACCAGAGATGATATACATGCTCTGTGTCACAGGCTGAGAATGCGCTAGAGACCATAAAGCTTAACAAAATGTATGGCATGTTAGTATTTTTTATGAAATGAAGTCTCTTAAAGTGTTTATAGGTCTTCAGTAGTTATCTGGGCTTGGGGGAAATGACCAGGACTAAAATATAAAGGAATGTAAAACAAGAAACAAAGAGTAGTAAACCCCAGAAAACACTGTGAATGGCAGAAGTTACGACTTCCTATGTCACCCAGGAGTGTTTCATTTACATGGAAACAAAGCAGAGAAGAAATATTTTGAGAATGAAAGAAAGAAATTACTCTGCCCTGAGGTGGCACCAGGGGCACGCATGAGCACGAGTGCATACGTGGATGCAAGGTCATTAGAAGCACACTCCCAGTCCCACTATACCAGCAACACCCCAGAACAGGTAGGAATCAGCTTAAAATCCCCTCCAGCTCGGTTTCTGAACGTTCCCACAGATTTAGACATTGTTTTCTGGTTTTGTAATTGCTCTCTCTTCCACGCTTTTCTGTTTAATTATTAGCTTTACCTCCTCCTACTGTGGACTGCAAAATCCATCTTTGCTTTGTTTCACCAGTAATCCTGCCTGGTGTTAGGGAAGATGCTGGAAGGGTGTTGCTGGGCTGTGCAGTGTGGGTCTCCAGCAAGGGGGTCCGACCTGGAGGGAACAAGGAGCTCCTCCCTTGCCAAGCAAACAGCAGAGAATCATCCAGTTGCTCTCAGCAACTTGCAAGATATTTGCTGACATGCAAAAAAGCGAGCAATGGCAGAGCATCACAGCCATCCAAGCCACCTAGCTCAAGGCAGACACCTCTGGGAAGCCTTCGGCACAACCTGAGCTCAGTGGAGGGGAGAGCTGGGTGCCAGCAGGCTGCAAGGAGACAAGATGTGGCTTCAGGGACATACCCTGAGGCTTTCAGGCATCAACCCTCCACAGCCAGTGGGTTGCCACAGTTTCCCCATTCATGTCTGGCATGACCTTGTGCACCTTCTGACAAAGGCTGTGGGTGGACGGGTCACACCAAGGAGCCACTAGTGCTGTGGCCCAAAGGCAGTCAGAAACGCCACTAAGCTGGGAGGATGAAATTCCCCCCTTCCCCCCTTTTGCATGATATTACAGGTGCAGCAGGAGCTGGCAACACTGTTCTGGAGACATTTATCTCTCCTTGCTTTCTGAAACTAGCAATTATTCCAATGACTATCATTGTTAGGATTTATTATAAAGACATAACCACCATTTCAGATCCTTGCAGCTCCCCAGCTCTCATGGATAGGCACAATTTCACCCAGCTTCCCTTGTCCCTCTGTCGTTTCGGTTCTGTAATTACCTGGACTCCCACTGCCTTCAGCCCCATGAACTGAAAGGAGACTCTGTCTCACCCGCCATCTCTCGAGCACTTCCAGCATCTGCCTGTTTACACACTCAGGTAACTCTCAGCCCTTCCATCGCTCGATCACTGAGGTCCACGCTCCTGGCCAGCATGCAGGTCACAGGTAGCACAGAGCACTGCAGAATTTCTGCTAGGGAGCATCCCAACCCCTCCACAGGAAGACAGCGGGTGCCTACCCTGTGATGGGGCCCAGGGTCTGCACTGGCTCCCTCGTTCAGCCTGGGTCGGTTCAGAGGAAGCCATTTGACCAGGAGTCCCACCCCAGCTCATCCAAAGGGGCTGAGGGAGCACCGACAAGGGAGCGATGAATGCACCTCCAGGCATGCGTCCCAGCGAGAACTGTAATCTCCCGTCTGAAAGCAGGCAGGACTGGCCTTGCACAAGCACCATTTCCCCAGGGCTGCACGGGACTGGCCTCAGCTAGTCATGCTTATCGGCCTCTCCTGCCACTCCACTATGAATACAAAACTGTTATTTCTGGGCAAGCACTATCTCATTGAAATTTAAGCAATTCTGTTAATTAACAGGGTCTGAAGCATTTTATAATGAAAATGATTCATGTCAGCACAATAGTGATGAATTGGGATGAGAGGGAAAAAGCTCATGCATTCACCAAGGCTGTAATGACTTAACTGAGCTGCTTGTAATGATATAGCTCATAATACACCATGCAAGATGGGAAGAAAGTGCTCAGGTGATTCCCGGAACATCTCCAAGGTCACCCATCCCAGCAGGGAGCAAGTCCTGGCCATTTGGCACATGCAGACCAGGGCAGACAAACGGCCCCAGCCAGCTCCGGTTCTTCTAATGGCACAAGACAGACAAAATCCTTGTCTTGACGGGGGTGCAGACTGTGAGCAGAAAGCACCTCCTGCCAAGATGCTGTTTGTCTAGTCCATCCTGGAAAAGTGGGGGTCTGATGCAGATGAACTGCCCCATGCCTCCAAGAGCCCCAGCAGGTTTGTCACTGAGAAAGCTGTTCCCCCTAAAGTTGCATGGGCCACACCAGGCTACTACCCCAAATGTCAGGCTGGTTTTGTCTTTTAGGCTGAGGTACCACTTACCATTTGCTAGCAGCCCTGACAAATCAGGGTCTCCAAACATACTCCACACCAATTCCTTGAATATGGCACTGTGAGTGCTGCCATAAACACCCACCAGCAGCAAACTTGCATGGTTCCATCTCCTAGAGCCCAAAGAGCCTCTGCTCCCACAACCTGACCCCCCGGGACTCTGCAAAAGCAGCAGCAAGTGATGGTGGCAGACCTGTTCTCAGGGCACAGAGACAGAAGCCGCTGCTGTGTGTAGAACATGGAAAAGTCCTCACTATCATCTTCAAGATTCACCTTCTTTCCAGCCAGAAAAACTGCCAAACTTTGTCCTTCCCAGACACTGCTAACAAAGCAAGAACAACCTCCAGCTCAGACTCATCTCCCTAGTTCTTGTCATCTGTTATAGTTGAATAATACAGACGCATGGTGGCATACCCTCTGGTAGAAGGCACTTGTGGCTTTCCAGCATGATCCAGATTAATCAGTATAATTACCAGGCAAGGGGACACTTACATCATCACATAAATACCGTCAAATCTGCTCAAACAGCAGACACTCTTTGGGTGATAAAAACAAAGCAGGACGATGCACTCAGCAGGTAACTGCCTTCTGGGAATCCCATCATTATGGGCTTTGCTCTGCCCTCAGATACTTCTAGCTCAGACGTCCACATCCTCAGAGACCCTCTGGATAAGGCATCTTCCAGCTGAGGGCAGTCAGGAGCAACACGCTCCCTGCCACGAAGTGCAAAGGCAGAAAGTCGTGGAGTAACGTACATGGAAGTATCCTGAGGAGGTCCCTGGCCCAACTACAGCTCAAAGCAGGCAGTCTTCCAAGGCAGATGAGATTACTCAGGGCCACGTCCAGCCAGGTTTTGAGTATCTCCAAGGGTGGAAATGCCACGTTCATGGTGACAAGTTTTGTCTTCCTGCCATTTGTGCCTTTCTACTGTGCATGCCTGAGAAGAGTCTGGCTCTGTCTGCTCTATCCCCTCCTATTACGTGGCTGGATAAACAGATTCACTCCTCCCAGCAGCTTTGTCTGTTACAGTAAACAGATCTCTGCCTCAGCCCAGGGGTGGTAAGGCACCTGCCAAATAGAGTGCAGATTCCTCACCTGTGCCCACACTTGCCTGCAGGGACATAGAAATACCAATATACCTGCTGAGAGACAAGTGCTGCTTGAGGCATACATCCTGGAGGAGGTCAGCCCACTGCAAATGGGGTCTTAGCCCCAAGAACCAGCACTTCATCTGCTCTACATGCACAGCCCCGCTTCCAGTCCTTCAGCTCAGGACAATCTCTGAGGCAGAAGCTACCGGCGGTCTGAGCAAGGTACTAGGCACAAAGTTCAGGAGGTTCATGGGTCTTCAGCAAATAAGGTACAGAGCTGAGATCCAGAAATGGAAAGATTATGGTTGCATCAGCATAAC